TTCTTGGTGAGTTATATATATATATATATATATATATAAAATAAAGATAAAATAGTCATGTAAATTTTTATAAAAAAAATATAAAACATAAAAAATTGTATGAAATAAATGTAAAAAAATTATATATGTATTATTTTTTTTTTCAAATTAAATGATTTCATATGTTTTAAACATATGAATGAAAAATTAATAAATAAAATAAATTAATAATTACAAACTTTTTATTTTATTTTTAATTAGTGGTTGAATTATACTTAATATTTTTATTTTACAAATGAATGGTCCTACAGAAAATTCTTCTATAAACATATTTTAATTAAATAATATAAAATAATCATTTCATAAAACATGTTTCTTTCGTCTTATATTTTACTTTATTTATTATCTCTATATTTTCTATTACGTCAAACTATTATTGACTTTTTCTTTATGTGTAATAAAAAATGCTGGTAATCAACATCTAAATCCTTGTTCTTCTATTAATTGAAATTTATTAAAAATTAAAATTTTTTGTTTTATATGTATTAAACAAATACCTTTTCCATTTTAAATTGTCTGTTATAAGTATCAAGCACGTAACCTACTATTATTATTAATGTGGATGGATATCTATAATTAAATATTTAAATAATATAGATTCAAGATAACATGTATGTAGTGAAAAGTTGTGAAGAACTTTTTCATACACTAGTGTACGCAATGAATTTACCTTAAATGGATCACGTATTAATCTATAGATATGAAACACATGTTTGTTGGAATTTATTTTGTATCATTGGTCCAAATATAGTTTTTTCAGTTATATTATGAACAAGATAGTTTTATACTATGTATTGTCAAAACCATTAAATTCAGATAAAAGTGTAGGTGTATGTACCCCTTCTTTCCAAATATCTGAGTTTTATTTCTCCTTCTTCTCTCTTAAATTCTTCTTCTTCTCTCTACAAATTCTCACATTTTCCTTCTTCTGATCATCCACCAGGTTGTGCCTGAGTTTTTCCCTGGTGGCAAGAGTCTCTCTTTTCACCAATTAAGTTGTTGTTGGAGTTGGTAAGTTAAATTCACTCGTTCTTTTAAGTTTATGTATTTTCTGATACATGCAAGCATTGTTCAACTTGCATCTGTTCATCATCTACTTCTCTGAAGTTGTTTTCTGTCTTTGATCATCTGGTTGGTTCATTTTCACCGATAAGAAAGTAGTAGGTTGCCTTAGAAGCTGATTTCTGGTTAGTCAACACTATGAAAGCGTAGGAAGTGTTTGGTTTATTCAAGGTAAGGGAAGCTAGTAATTTAATTATGTTTGTTTATGTTTGAAATGATTGGTTGAACATGTGCATGTATGAATAATTGGATATTGGCTTGATTTTTGTGTGTTGCTGAGACCTGTGAACTGGTTGAGAAGTTCTGTAGAATTATGTAGAAAACAAAGCGCTCATTGTTGAACGCTCGGTTAGGTCATGTAATCGGGTTTAGTGGTATTCGGTTTTGTAGTGATATTTTGGCTTAGTGTTGTTTGGTTTAGTATTTAAAAGTATTCGAGTTGGTATTAACGTTCGTTCTTAGTCGTACTACTTTTAACGTTCGATTTTAGTAATATTCGATTGAATTATAGCGTTCGGTCTGAGCTATACACATTCGATTTAAGTTTTTAAGCGTTCGTTTTAAACTCTTAAGGTTGGGCTAAGCTCCCAGTGGTCGGTTTTTCTCTAGTGATCAACCAGTAATTACGTTAGGCAATTTCTTCAGTTGTATCTATTATAGACCGTTTGATCTATCTTTTGGGTAGTGTGAAGGTGTCCGGTCTCCAACGTTCACAGGTTCTCTAACGTTCACAGGTTCTCTTTGTCTTATGAGTGAAAATATAACTGATGAATGACTGTTTATGTTAATTTATGAGAATTATGTTTTCAAATCTGTGGAAGAGAATTCCAAGGAGGAATATCTCATGGATGATTATGGAATTGTAAGGTATGAATATGGATATTGCTAAGTTGGCGTTCATCCTGAAATTCTATGAGTATCATTCTTTCATAGAGATAGTTATTTCATTTGTGAGAATATTATGAGGTCCTACCACCTCAGGGTGCCGAGGTAGGTATTATGGGATTAACCTTGGGTAGTAGCTTAATTGGTATCAGCTGTTACACTACCACAAGTGCAAGGACGATTGTAGCTACATATTCATACAATCCGGATGGTCAAGCCATAGTGTTCGGTCTATATATGAATTGTGGTGTTCATTTTGTATATGATTGCTTGTATTTGGTGTTGGCATGAGGTAGCGTTCGGTTTTGCATGACTTGAACTTGTATGAAATATATATAGATGTGTTTATAATTAAATTACATTAGCTTACCCTACTTTCTTGTTTTGTCTTGTATTGTCCGTTCGTTTTCCTTTTCTATTGCAATGATCATCCTATGGATGTGAGCAGAAGGCGATGAGTGTTCGGTGGAACAAGCGTTGGAAGGCGAGGGTCCTGTAGCTTAGTTAGGATCGTTCGATCATTAGGCTTAGCTTATCTTTTGTAACCGATCGGTTTATACAGGTTGTTGTATAACCGTTCGGTATGGGATGATTTGTATAAACTTAGTGGTAGAACCGTTCGGTTTATTTCCTATGTTTTGTATCAGACTTATGGTATTCTGTAAAGTTTTTAGTTTTATAGTTATTTTGGATAACTGTATTGTTAAATACTTTACTAACTCTTAGAGAACTGATCTATCATATTGTTATATGTAATTAATCTATGATATAATATTATGCTATATTTTGGGATGTCACATAAGTTAAATGTTAAATAACTTATATTTTTTTCATATAATTATTTGATTTCCTAGTATAATTATATTCGACAGAGGACCATAAGGTTCAGTGAACTGCTTTGATATTAAAGTTTAGTTTATTATTGTATTTCATATATTTTTCCTTGTAAACATAAATATTTAATACATGTTTGGTAAATTATATATATATATATATATATATATATATATATATTTTGATATCTAAATATTTAATTGTTAAATATTTTAAATTATGTTCACTACAGTATTAATTATTTACATTTATTATATTTATATTAATATTTTTCAAATATTTTATAAAATGAAAAATATAAAAATAAAGATCATTTCTTTTCTTATTTTGTTCGTTGTTAATTAATTCAAAATTAAGGGCAAGATTACCATAATATTACAATGTGTGTATATAAATACGCACCCTATCATGGAAAAGGAAGACCGAAAAGGGGGATGGTATGTCATCTTTGCACCATTCTCCTTCTCTTTTTATTGTACTTTAATGGTTTTTGTTAAAATTTTTTTTTACTATGCACCAATAATGTTTTTTTCATAAAAAAAAATATTTTTTCGTGTTTCTTTTGGTATTGGTTATATCTTCCGCATCACGTGATATTTATTTTTTAAAATTTTACTTCAAAAATTAAATAATAAATAAACAATTTAAAAAAAAGTAAAAGAAGAAAATATTTCTTATCATGTATTTTCCTATAAAAAAAATATTAAATCATAAAATAAAGGGTATGGGTACGCGTCGACTTATGGTCGGTCTCTTTCCTTTTCTTTTTTTTCCACCATATTTTTTGAAATAGAAGAATACAAAAATTTTTGAAAAAAAAAATGTTAATTCTTGTCGGGGTTCTCTTTAAAAAAACAAACTTCACAAACTTTTTTGTAGATAAAGAACTACGTGATCCCTGATTGTCCATCATAAATGGATATACGCAGGAGCAAGGTCAATCCTTGTCGGGTTCATAAAACAAAAAATATTTTTTGTTTCTTATTAGTTTCTTTATATAATTATTTTTAGGGAAAATTAAATATTTTGAAAAGCCACTTTATACATTTAACTAAAGGTACTGCCTTTGGGCATACGTAGTAGGGTTCTAACACCTTCCTTACGCGTAACCGATTCCCGGATCTAAAATCTAGTTTTCGTAGACCATGTCTTATTTTATGATTTTCCATAGTTTTTCCATAATAAATTATGGTGGCGACTCCCAAAATATTTTTCTCAAACCCATTTGTTTTCGGGTCGGCTCCCCGTCGCGATCCTGGTTGCGATGGATGGCGACTCCACTAGGGACGCTAGAGAATCAGGCCTAATTAATTAAATATGAAAATTGATGTGGTTTCTCTTTATTTTATTTTTTTGCTTTATTTATCTATATGTTTGATCTTTATTCATTTTGGTAATTTATTTATATTCTTTTTTTATTATTATTAGAATAATTATTATTGTGCATATCATGAGTAGGACCTTATACCCGGGTCTGAGTTTAACATAGAATTAGATGGGTTGCATAGCGGTCTCACGTCTGGACTATTTCTAGTTTGGCTATCGTGAGAACCCTAACCAGTGTCTGTTCTCTTCACATGCAATTTCACGCCTAGTAGTGTTTCAACTGTTGTGGAAAATGCTGTGAAAAGGACCATAGCTCTGGTGACCTTGATTTTAGGTTTAGGAAGCCATCCTTGTGAGATTTCATATACAATGATTAGACCTTAAGACGTTGGACCTACCTTAAAAGCATAAAAAACAACATGTTGTCTTTTAATCATTATTGGCACAAGCATCCTCATGCATCATATGCATTAGCATTTTTATCATTTTCTCTTCATTTTCTTTATACATAACAATAAATGTGTCACGTTTTTAAAACAAAAACAAAAACAAAAACAAAAATGTCATGCTTTAATGAATTCATATTTTTCCATGGAATTATTCTTATGATAAAAAGGAAAAAATAAATAAATAGGGCAAAATAAAAACTATTTTCCCTTCTTTTTTTTTTGAAGCATTTTTGACATGAAATCGTGAAAATATTTTTCCTCCTTCATCATTTTCCATCATCCATTGTATCCATAAAAAAAACGATTTACAAGGGACACTATCTTAAAGTGATCGCAACTAATCTTTTTAGCACAAAAAAAAGATAAAAATAAAAATAAATAGAAAACAAAAACCAAGGGCAACATATTGCATTTTGAACTTTGTTTTTCTTTTAAGTTAAGAGTTTGAAAAATAAAACGATCATGATTTAATACGTAGACATGTTTCTTAATCAAAAAATTATCATTCTTTTCAATCTATTTTGAGTCTTAAAAAAAGTTCTTTCAACTTCCCTTGAACAAGTCAGGTTGACATAATTCATCAATAAAATATTTTTTTTTTGGGTATGAAAGAGAAAGAAATGTTTTTTGAAAAAATAGAATCAAAATGAAAATGACAAACTTAATTTTTTTAAGATTTTTATTCACTGTAACAAAAATAGTTTTTAGGCCCATTGGGCCCAATTCTCATACATAGTTTCCTTCAAATTCAATTTCTCGAAAAAAAAAAATAGCAAACGAATGCGTTAAGAGGAAAATACAAGAAAAAAATATTTCTCAAAAAGTTTTATCATTTCCAAAAAAAAAACATAGAAAAGGAAATCATTACATTTTGGGTAATTTATTATCATATGTTTTTGTAATCAAAGATTTTAAATAACTAATAGCATTTTCTGTTGAGATATGTGTGTGTGCATTGCTTGAAAACACTCATTCTCCAGCCTCTCCCAAAAGAAAAAGAGATTGGCTCTAGAGCATATTTGTCTTGCCAAAGTTATTCTCACTATTGTGTTATTTGGGAACTTCCTAACTAGCCAGAAGCATGCAAAAGAAAATCAAACCAGTTGGGGCAATCCTTTTTGTTAAAATAGAATGACTTAATTTTCTACACCAAGAAGGGGGAGTGAATTAGTGAAATACAAAAACAATGTTTTCTTTAAATCTTGTTTGCAAAGTAGATGACTTTAAAAAATTTCTTGAAACGCAAAGAAAAAGATTTTTAAGTGCAGTGGAAATAAAGTTGATTAAACACAATACAAAGTTGATTAAGTAAAAGTGTAGGGATAGAAAAATCAAACACTGCTTTTTATACTGGTTCGGCCAAGCCTACATCCAGTGTCCTTCCTCACCAAGAAGCAAATGCACTATAATGATCAAGGTTTTTACAACAAGGCTTTTATAGAGACCTCCATGTCAAAAATATAAAACATCTCTCTAACCCTCTAATCAAAATATAGGCATACAACACACAAAGACCAGCAACAAGATGTTCCCTCTCCTACTGTCTTCAACCCTTTGAGAAACCCCTCAAAGTCCAGAACGCACCACGTCCTCTTCCTGTAGTCACAACAGGGCAACAACACCAATCTTCACAAGATTGAATTCCTGGTCACCAAAACACACAACTTTAGTGCAAATTTGATCAGATAGTAAACGCACACAATCCTTGCTCTTTAAGCTATCTCCAAAGATGAACACCACGATCTTCTTTAAGAGTTCTTGGAGCTTTTCCCAAATCTGTAAGACAACACTAATATGAAAATTATCACACAATTCGTTAGATTATCAAAACTTACAGAATTTAAATTTGCGTCAATCTATAGTTTTTCACAATTTTGATGCTCTTCAGTCGACTTTGCCACTAATGAAGTCGAATACAATCATGAAAGTTATAATAGTTAGTAGAAGTCATAGCAATTAATTGATTACGCAATTAATGCAGTTGTTTCACAATTAATGCTTGGTCAAACATATTTAAAAATATAGCCGTTAGACACTTTAAGACAAGCATTAACATAATTTCAAAACATAATAAACTTAGTCGAATGGCTTGCTCACATAGTCGACTTTGTAACAGTTAAAAACATAGTTTTGAAAAAATTTCTCTTCAAAAATTCTTACACAACACTTTGAAAAAGTTTGTGCAAAGCCACGAGTTTTAATCGACTTACTTCATAATGAAGTCGACTTAAAATTGTTGTTTTGCTACACAATTTAAGTTCAACTAAAGTGCATGTGTTTTTTCTTTTCCAAAACAATTTTCATGCAATCACAGATTAAATCTCACATATATAATATAGTGAATTGCAATGATCAACACAACACAAACATGTTACCATATAATCATAATCATGAAAGTAATGAACATGTAACACATGAACACATGTGTTATTAAATATGTGTTGTCATCATAAAAAGCTAGAAGCTTTGAGATTGTAGGTTCAGCTAAACCATTGCTCCCCCTATAAAAAATCTCAACACTTTTTCAATAAATTCTTTCCATACCCATTCCCTATCTTGAACAAAACCCATGCCTAAAACTGGGGCAGCTTTGACATTCATGGCTCCAAATCCCCATACTTTTTTCCAAACACCAACATCCTTTTGGTATGTCGTATCTCATATCGATATTTTTTAAGGGCATATAAAGAATGACACACCAACACGGCTATCCTAGTCTCTTTAAATCCTTTTAAACATTTACCGCTTTTAACTTGTCTATGTTATTCAAGCATGCACATACCATTGTTTCAAAAGAAAATGTCAAGTACATAAGCATTGTTTTGAATATCCGACTTCAAAATTTTTGGCATCCATTATTTAAATAAAAATGTAAGACATACCACTATGATTGATATGTGATTTTATCTGTCACTACTACAGAATTGGACATAGATAGCGCCAAATAGATAGCGCTTTTTTAAATAAGCGCTATCTATAAGTGTGCGGAACAATAGATAGCGCTTATTTGAAAAAGCGCTGTCTATATACATGACAATAGATAGCGTTTTCTTAGAACAGCGCTATCTATAAATAATTTATATTACTTTTTTACTGTATAATTTGAAATAAAAAAAAAGATAACGGTTGTTTAAAACAACGCTATCTATTATGCGTTTTTTTTAATGAAGTGGTGTTTATTTGCACACAATAGATAGGCTTCTTGTGGCTCAAAGGCTAGTGCTCATTTCCTCTTCGTTTTTTCTGATTTTCGTGTCTGGTCCTTCTTAGTTGGTTCCACCTACCTCATGTTTATCATTCTCTGAGATAATTAGAGTTTGTGGAGGTCGTAGCATTCAAGTAAGTTATAAGATAATAATATATAGTATGTTAGTAACATTAGGATTATTAGATATTTTATTTAAACTAACTAAATTAATACTAAATTATTAATTTATATTAGTAACATTACAGAGTTTCAGACACTTTCTCTGATTTATATAGTTGACGTTTCTGAACATGTGTATGAGTAATATTATGTGAACGTGTACTGTGCAACACACTATGCTTGTGACTTTGTTGAATTGAATATGTGTTACGTAAAGTAAAGATAAAAGGAAAGGAAATAGCACAAAAAATCTGATACCATATAGAGAATATTGTTGGTAATTGTGGGATCTCTATACACAACAAGGTACTTTTATTTATGGAGTAGAGATACGATACTATGTAAAAAAATTGAATACTTAATAATGTGAAATAAGAGTGCATAATTGATCAGGTTAGAAATACATAAGTGTGTTTTATTGTATATTTATTTTAATGTTAATGTGTTAATATTTGTTTTTACATTCTCTTAGGAGTTAGTGTTTTCTCCATCTCCTCGTGGAAGGAGGAAAGCAGAAATTTCTACTAATATAGCAGAAACATCACTCACATTAGAGGTAATATCCCATTCACAATAAGTTTGATTATCTCTACGGGTTAGAGATGAATCCTCCTCCTTATTTCTTATTTTTTTAATCATGCAGGGAATTGTCTATGTTGTTGACAATGGGTTTTGTAAACAACGGTTCTACAATCCGTTAATCATTTTGTTATTTCTATTGAAGAGATACAGGAATGAGCCCTGTAATGATTATTTCTTGTTTGATTTATAAATGTAACATTTGGTCTATCTTTACTTCTATTCAAGTTTCTTTTTGCTTTCTAGTTTTTAGCTAACATTGTTCCACTACATAAGGCATTATTCTCATTTTCTACACGGGCACTTGTATTTTCTCAAAATGTTAGAGAAGTTTCATCAATTTTTATGTCACTTATTGTCCTCTTTTAAAATTTATACAAGTTGTTGTTGGTTTATGAAGGATTTAAAACATTAGAATTTTCAATATTTATTGGGTTGATAGTTTCCTAGTCATGGTACTCTATGAATTTTAAATTAACATTAATTATGTATTTTCTTTATTATTTTAGTTTATTAGAATTTTCCTAGTCATTGTGGTTGATTCTAGCTGCCATCCTAGTAATTTTATTTTTAGAATTGTTCCCTTCACTTTTTTTTCCACCTTACGTTGATTTCTTAGATGTCTTCAAGTGTAATTTTCTTTCACGCTTTGTAATAGATTTCTGATATTGAAAATCTGGCTGTGACTCCAATATCTAGGGCCTCTACTAGATAAAGAGCTGGTAGGGCTGAGCAAGTTCGACTAGGAAAGTGTTACAGGTGTTGTCTCAACCATTTAATAAAAATGTTTTTTTTTAATATTTTTATATTTTTTTATATAATAAAACCAATAGATAGCACATGTTTGTACATAATAAAATCAATATTTTATATTTTTTAATTTTTTTAAATATTTTATTAAAAATTTATTATTTTTTTTTAAAAAAATTAGACCAATAGATAGCGCTTATTTAAAAAAGCGCTATCTATTGTTAGACACTAATAGATAGCGCTTTTTATAGAAGCGCTATCTATTAATAGATAGCGCTGTCATAGATAGCGCTTAAAAGGCGCTATCTATGATAAAAAAAAGCGCTATCTATGCACTTTTCTGTAGTAGTGTGTGTATGCATAACATATGTTTTCGGAAATAAAAAAACCACAAGAACTATTGTTGAACTTTAAAGTATGGCAAAACAACAATTTTAAGTCGATTGTATTATTGTTCAAATCAATTAAAACTCGTGGGTTTGCACAAATTTTTTTCAAGTGTGCTGTGATGAATTTTGTGAAGAAAAGTTTTCAAAAATGAGCTAAGTGTTTCTACTTAATCGATTCCATGTAACTTTATTCAACTAAGTTTGTTGTTGATTTGAAAACTGTTTAAATGCTTGACAGAACTGTCACAACGGTCATGTTTTTAAATATGTTGACCAAGCATTTATGACAAATCGATTATATTAATTGCGCATTCAGTTAATGCATTTGACTACTATTATTCTGTTACAACTGTCAAATTTATTCAACTACATTAATAGTCTAATCGATTAAAACACGTTTTTTTGTGTGACATACTATATACTAACGCATGATTTGATTTTCTGTAAGGAGAAACAAGAAGAAGAGAATTGATTTTTTACACTTTCATATCTTTCAGTGTACTCTGTGTGATCTTACAAAAGAGAGAAAAAGCTTCAAGAACCAAGAACGACCGTGGTGATCGAAGTCTTGAAGGTTTCTTGTGTAGCAAGGTTGATCTGCTTTGGAAATGTCTGATCTTTCTGCACTCAAAGGTGTTTTGTACGTGATCAGGAAAGCATTGACAAACACTTAGAATTGCTGGAGTTCTCTATAGTGTATACAGGAAGAAGAATTTTGTTCATGACTTTGAGAGTGTCTTACAAGGTTTGACAGTACAAGAGGATGTTCTTGTTGCGTGTCTTGTTGTTGTACTTCCTATATTTAGATTAGTGGGTTAGAGAGGTGTTTTACATTTTGATGTGAGGTCACTGTAAAAACCTTGTTGTAAAAACCTAGATCTTTATAGTGCATTGGCTTCCAACTCAGGTTGATTGGAAGGACACTGGATGTAGGCTTGGCCGAACCAGTATAAAAGCATCGTTTGATTTCTCTAATCCCTATCTCTGCATATAATCGATTAATCTATCATTGCATTCGATTAAGCTTACTATTGCATTAAATACAAGCTTACTTGCATTTCAAGAAAAGTTCAAAGACATCCTTCTTTGCGAAAAATATTTTAATAGCAAACGTTTTTACGCATCACCAATTCACCCCCTCTTTGTGTGAGAAGCTAAGCACTCCTTTTTTAACAATTGATACGAGAACTGGTTTTCATAAGATATTTGAAAAAGAAATCGATTAAGATTTTTGTCTAATCGATTCGATCCTGAAAAATGGCTTTTGTTTCTCAAACTTTTGGTGAAAGTGCATCAACAAATAGACCACCTCTATTTGCTGGTGAAAACTATGCATTTTAGAAAATTAGGATGCAAATTTTTATTGAATCCGAGGACAAAGGTGCATGGGATGCTACACTCAATGGTCCATTTGAACCCACTCATGTTGTAAATGGAAAAACTGTTTTGAAAATTTTTTCTGAGCGAAGTCAAGATGAGAACCGAAGAGCTCAATATGATGTGAAAGCTAGAAATGTAATTGCCTGTGCTTTAACAATGGATGAATTTTTTAGGGTCTCTCAATGCAAAACAACAAAAGAAATGTGGGAGGTCCTTGAAGGTACACATGAAGGAATAGACGAGGTGAAGCGTGCTTGAAAGAATTCCTTAATACAGGAATATTAGCTATTCAGGATGAAGGCCGGGGAGACCATCTATGACGTTCAAAAGAGGTTTACACACATTGTCAACCATCTAATGGCTCTCGGGAAATCTTTTAAGAAAGAAGATATTAACATCAAAATCCTAAAGAGTTTAAACAAAACCTGACAACCAAAGGTAACTGCCATTTCAGAATCTAAAGATTTAACTAACATGAATATGGAAACCCTTTCTGGCAGCTTAGGGAGCATGAGTTAGAACTCGGAAGGCTATGAGAGGAAGACGAAATTGAGGAAAAGAAATCGATTGCCCTTAAACCCACAAGCAAGAAATCCTCCAAGAAGGCTGAATCTAAAGCTGAATCAGATGCAGAAGTATCAGAAAAGGAAATCATGAATATGATGGTAAGAAAATTTAATAGATTCATGAAGAACAGAAATTCTGCAACTAACAATGCAAGTTTTTCAAGAGGAAGAAAGAAGAGCTCAAGAAGCAACACTGTATAATGCTGTGAATGCGGAAAGGATGGCCACATAAAGCCTGACTGTCCAGAGTTGAAGAATAGGAAGAAAGCAACCACCAAGTATCCTCAGGATAAGGAAAGCAAGCAAAGGAAAGCCTATATAGCTTGGGAAAACAGTGATGGTGATTCTTCAAGTGATGATGATTGCAGTGTGGAAGAGGAGTCAAATTTATATTTCATGGCAGGCTCTGCACACTTTGATGATGATAGTGATAGTGATTTCGAGAATGAACTGATCGATGTCAAGTACGACTTGCCACTGGATGCATTTCAAGAAATACGTACAGAGGCCATGCGACTCCAATACAAGGTGAATCTATTATCTTCTGAAAGGAAAGATTATGAATATAGAATTGATAACCTTGTAAAGGATAATGAAAAGCTAGAAAATGAATTAGAAGCTGCATTACAATATGCTAAAGCAAATGTTAAAACTAAAATACAGATTGTGGAAAAGAAATGTGATAACTGTCCAATACACTTAGAAAAGATAGATTACTTGACAAGCACTCTAGCTAAATTTACTCAAGGGAAAGAAAATCTAGATGATGTGTTAAGATCATATGGTAGAGAAATTAATAGGCAAGGCATTGGCTATAAAGCAAAGAGCAATAAGATTAATTCTAAGAAGTTTATTGATCTGAGTAAACCTATCTCAAATGCTTGTGTATACTGCAATACTATTGGCCATAATGTCATAAATAACTACTACAGAAAGGTTGGGGTTCCTAAAAGAAAATATAAGTGGATTCCTAAGGAACAACCCCCTACAACTAACTAAAAAGGACCCAAGTTTATCTGGGTACTTGCTACAAAACCATTAAATTGTTTTGCAGGTAAATAAGTTGCTGCTAAAGAAGAAACAATGCTCAAGGATGAATGATTGTTGATATGAATGATTGTTATATGCATAATTGATGAGTGTATATATGACTGATTTGTTTGTATGAAAATCTGATTGCACGACTTTTAATCGGTTGTGTTATGTATAGAGTCGATTATGTTCTGTGTATGTGTTTCTCTATTTCTTGGTAATACTCTGTCATACACATAAGTTGACTATGATTTTAATAAAATCTATTATTTCTCTGTAATGTGCTTTCATGTTTTGAAAAGTTGAATGGGCTGATACTAATGTGTTACTGCACACCTTTATAAGTGTGTGTTTGAATACTTGAAGACATAAAGTGTGTCTGGTCTGCCTAAACTTCATAACCCTAGTACTGAGAAAGATTGCCCAAGAGTTCAAAAATTCAAATGGCTTCTTCATCACACCCCTCAGCAAACAGAGGAAAGACTATAGTTGCTGCAAGAAATGCTGATCCCTCGGGATGGATCAGTGATGATGAAACGCGTGAAAGATTTCTAAGAGGGAAAAGAAACAAGATCGTTGTACCACATAAGCACCTAAAGCTAGATTTATTAAAAAAAGAGGGCATCCATTTCCCAGAATGGATTGAAACCAGGGTTGGGCATAGTTAACTTAAAATACTTAAACTATAGTTAATCCATACTTTTTTAAACTTAAAAAGCTAATAATACAGTTAACTAAAAACTAATTAAACTAATTAATAATACAGTTTAAAAAAACTGAACTGTTTTACATTCAGTACAATTAACTGTAGTTTAGGTTTATATCTACTTTCCCAATCATGGCTTCATTTGCTTTCTGCTTTACATCCCGTTCATCCCACTCACTCGCTGCTGCTGTTGAAGGTTGTCGTTGTTGAAGGCTACCGCCGAGGTTACCGTTGCTAAAGCTTCGCTGCTGTCAAGGTTACCGTTGTTGAAGGTTCGCCGTCGTTGAAGGCTTACCGCTGTCGAAGGCTCGCCGCTATCGAAGGCTTTGTCACACTCTGCTGTCGCCGAACTGTCAAAGGTTCTACCACCATCGTCGAAGATTCTGAGAACACTTCTCCTGGAAAATAGAAGCAAATCTGGAACCCTAAGGTACAAATGTTTTTCGTGTGTTGTTCAAACATTGTTGAAATGTA